GCTGGGCGCGGCGCTCCTGCTGCTGCTGCCCGCCGCCTCGCGGGCCGACGAGCGCAAGAAGGGCCCCAAGGTCACGGCCAAGGTCGGCGCGGGGAGCCGCCGGGGTGGCGGAACCGGGAGGGACGGGCCCGGCCCGGCCGAGGCGGTGCCGTGGGAGCGGGATGGCTCGGTTGCTGGGAGCGGGCCGGGCGCAGGCCCCGTCTGTCCCGGGGAYCCCGGGGATCCGGGCAGCGGGTGGTGTCGGGCCCGGCCGCGCCGGGCTGGCGCGTGCTGGCCTTGACGCCGCTCTAACCCCGCCAAGGTCTTCTTTGATCTGCGCATCGGCGAGGAGGACGTGGGGCGCGTCGTCATCGGGCTCTTCGGCAAGACCGTGCCCAAGACGGTGGATAACTTTGTCGCGCTGGCCACCGGCGAGGTGAGGTGCCACCAAGCGCCCGGCCTTGTCCCACGCCCTCCTCCTCGTCCTCCGGAGCCCTCCCCCGCCTCCCCGTCTCACTCGTTTCTCTCCCCTCCTCTGACCTCCAGAAAGGGTTTGGGTTCAAGGGCAGCAAGTTCCACCGTGTGATCAAGGACTTCATGATCCAGGGGGGAGACTTCACCCGCGGAGACGGCACCGGAGGTAATTTGGCCTGCAGAATTGTACCAGGAGCCCGAGGCTTCTATCCGAGCTCAGCAAACATGGGCAAAGCCAGTAATAGTCGGAGGGTTGGGGACTTGCCCGCGCTTGTCGGTCCTGCTTGAGGCAGCGCTGGGTCAGGTCCTGCCCCATCCCAGGCCTGGGGCATTTGCGGGTCACTTTGGGCTGACAGGGGCTCTCCCCTCTCATCCTGACTTATTTCCGACCACGCAGCCCAACCTTCCTCTCCCCTCAGGCAAGAGCATCTACGGGGACCGCTTCCCCGACGAGAACTTCAAGCTGAAGCACTACGGGCCCGGCTGGGTGAGCATGGCCAACGCCGGCAAGGACACCAACGGCTCCCAGTTCTTCATCACCACGGTGAAGACGCCCTGGCTGGACGGCAAGCACGTGGTGTTCGGCAAAGTGCTGGAGGGCATGGTAAGGGCTCCGAGGCTCCGCGGGGCGCCGGGAGCCGCCGCTGCGCCGGGCTGGCCCTCATCCCGGGCACGCTCCTTCTCCAGGACGTGGTGCGCAAGGTGGAGGGCACCAAGACAGACAGCCGGGACAAGCCCCTCAAGGACGTCACCATCGCCGACTGCGGCACCATCGAGGTGGAGAAGCCCTTTGCCATCGCCAAAGAGTGACGGTGCTGGCGGGGCGGCGACGCGGCCGGGCCGGGCGCCGCGCCGGGGGCTGCGCTGCCCCCCTCACCCACATTCCAGCCGGCAGCCGGGGCGCGGGCTCCTCGTCCCGTCACTTTTGTAGGAAACACACGCGCCAATAAAYGTGACCAAGGTGGTTTTTCTTTTTTTTAGAGAGAGACTTGCCTGCCTTCAAGGGGGACGGGTGGCTCCTCGGTTCAGGCACCCATCAGGGCCAGCCTGGGGCCGCTGAGGGGGGGTCTCTGCTCCCCGCAGGGTGCCCGGGAGATGCCCCGTCCTTCCCGTTCCGTTAACGGGAGAGCAGAGCCGAGGCTGCCCGTGGCGGGAGGCCCCCGTCAGCCCGGGGGGGGTTAGGACTCGCGCCCCGCTGGGGCAGCAGCTGCGCCCAGCACAGCTCAGAGCCCAAACCCGGAACAGGAGGGCGGCGGCAGGAGTCCTGTGCGGSAATGAGGGCAGGCAGAGCCCCTGGGCGCAGCGGGAGCTCCTGCGCTGCCTCTGCCCTGTTCCCCAGCTCCGTGGCTGTCCCTGCCAGCCGGGCTGTGTCGGTGCTGTGACCTCCCCRCGCAGCGTCCCAGGCCCCGCAGTGCTGGGGGGCGGCAGCGACGGCGCTCAGAGGCCCGGCCGCAGCCCCGTGGGGCGCGGGGGCGCTGCGTGGCACCGGGGCCGGCGCGCGGGGCCGTACAGGCCCTGCAGGACCCCCCTCAGCACCGCGTCGGGCAGCAGCTCTGCGGGCGACAGCGAGGGGCGGCTCAGGGCCGGGTTTGGCTGCCGGGGCTGTCACAGGCGGGGGTCCCCAGGGGCTGCRGCCCCCTCCTTACCCGGGGCGGGCGGCCGCGCATAGGGGTCTCGGCGGAAGCTGAGGACGGGCCGTGGGGCCGGGCGGCGGCTGAGGGAGCGGGGCAGAGCGTGGGTCAGGCCGGGCCCGTGGGGCAGAGCGCCCCCGTGCCCCCTGCCCGCACTCACAGGAGGCAGAGCGCCCCCCCTTGCCCCCTGCCCGCACTCACGTGGGGCTGCCGCCCTTGGGCTCCTGCGGCCGCAGCTGGAGGAAGTCGAGCAGCTCCGGGGGCAGCTCCGCGTTGTGGGTCAGGACGCCCTGCGGGGTGGGGGGGCACCCCCATGGCACCCGGGGGTGTCATGGGGYTAGGGGAGTGTCCCACACATATGCACCCCCCCCACACACCTCCCCCTGGGGCTGCTCACCTGCAGGTAGAGCTCCAGGCCCTGCCGTCGCTGCTCCAGCACCTTGGGCACCCAGTTGGGGACGCGGCGGGGCGGGAAGTCGGGGACCTTGCAGCTCTTCCTGATCTGGGGCGGGAGAGGGGCACGTGTGGAGCAGGGATTCCCCCCCCCCCCCCCCGGCCGGTGTCACCCCTTGTCCCCACCCGCTTGTGCAGCGCCTGGAACTCGCTGTAGCGCTTGGCCACCGTGTGTCGCCGGCCGTTGCAGAGCACCTCCACGCGGAACACCTGGGGAGGACACGGGCTCAGCCGGCGGCGCGTGGGGACACCCCCCCCACACACACCCCACACACAACCTGGGAGGGGGAGAGAGGGGACATGCACCTMTGTACCTTCTGGGGCAGAGAGCCACAATACCCTCCCCCTCTGAGCCCCGCCACCTGCGATGGTGGTGGGTGCTGCCCTTGTGGGAAAAGGGCACGGATGCGATGGGGTCCCCTGGGCAGGTCGGGGCCCTCCTGGCTCAGCCAGAGCCCCGGGGCCCCACGGGGGGGGGGGGGGGGGGGGGGGGGGGGGGGGGTGATCCGTTCCTCCCCGTTCCGGCCCGGGCAGCGGGGTCGGGGCCGCCGGGAGCCTCCCGGCCGGAGGACACGCGGGGGGGGCTCCACGCGCGGGACACCCGGGACCCCCCCCCCCCAGCCCCGCTCACCGTGTGCGGCCGCTCGGGGCCGCGCGGCGCCGCCGCGGGCTCGGCCGCGGGGATGGACACGGCGATCATGGACGGGGCGGCCGGGACGGGACCGGGCGGCGCCCGGGGACCCCCCTATCAGCCGGGCACAGAGGCGGCCCGGGGCCGCCCCCCCGCGGGTGCCGCCCCCCGCGGCGGCCTCGTCGCCTCCAGCCCCTCCGCGTTCCCGGCTGAGGAAGCGAGACGGGAGGCACGGGACGGACGGGACGGGACGGGCGCACGCGGCGCCTGCGGGGGGGTGGTTTTCACTTCCCCAGCGCAGCCCGTGGCCGCAGCCGCCTCCCAGGCTGGAGGCCGGTGCGGGGTCCCCCAGCACCATCATCAACCCCATCACCACCACCATGGTCATCCCCACGGTGCAGGCAAGAAGGCGCCTTTGGCCCTGCCAGGGCTGTGTCCCACCGAGCCGCAAGCAGCAGAAGGGACCAGAGACCCTTCCTCCGAGCTCGGAGAGGCAGCCGGGTACCGGCCCTGGCACCAGCCCCTCCGCACACCCCCATTCCCCCAGGGCATTACCGTCCTGTGGGGCCCAGGGCTCCCCAAGCCTGTGGGGACAACAGCAGCGGGAGGCACCYGCCCTTGCCCCAAGCCTGCAGCTTGCACAAGTGTCTCGGGGCACCTGGACCTGGGTGTGAGGGAGCGAGGGCCGCAGCGCTGCAGCTGCAGGACAGGCCCGTGCTACCTGGGCACCATCTGCTTCCCCTGCAGCCGGCAGCGCTGAGACGCAGCTCCGGGCTCCAAAACAACAGCCTRTTCTTAGCTTTCCGCAGCGCTGTGAGGATAAAGTTTAATCAAAAGCCAAGGCAGACGGCTCAACACAGCCTCCAAGGTCACGGGTTTCTCARAAACACCACCCCGCTGCCCCTGGACCAGGAGGAACCRCTGCCTCCTCCCGCACCCCCCACCRCTTCCCACCATCCCTGCAGCCCCAGCCCTTCCCACAAGCAACGCAACAAGCGTGTTTGCCCTGATACAAGTTTTATTACATAATCTTAATGGCACTGCAGGAGTAAGATAGTCGTTAGAGCCCTAAAACGCAGGCTGAAAAATATACATTTACATGTGTCATTAACCCCCCTCCTCACTCTTCACCTACTGCAGGGCTGGTCTTAAAGCAGGAAACTAGTTTCTCTTCAGTAAGAAAATATATGTAGCTAAATGAAAAATATACAGTTAGAAGAGTTACTGGCTTATAAGCTGCTTGCTTGGGGGTTAAACCTCTACTCGCTCCAGAGTGTTTAGCTACGAGTCATTCGTGTGTAAAAGACAGAGGTATAGTGTATAAAAAGGCAAAGTTCAGGTACTCTCGTCTGCTTGGTCCGGTTAGGAAATCGCCTTGGCTTCGGGCAGGAACGCTTCCCAGTACTTCACCAGCTGCGGAGAGAGGGCAGAGTCAGGAGCCACGGTCGCTCTGTCCGCCCCGTTCAAGCCCTAAGACACCAGTTTTCTACATGCAGAGTTGAAAACTGTTTGGCGGAGGCAGMAACCTGCCCTTGGTGGGCACCAAGAGCTGTTGGGTTCAATTACGCAGCCCACAAACGTGACCCGAAGCCAGGGGGGAAGCAACAGCTTGGATTCTGCACCAAGCAGCCTTCCTGACAGGCACTGGGCTCTGTCTGGGGACTCATCCCTCCCCAGCCCGTGGGGCCTCCTCACTCTGCTCGCATTTGAGAGCAGAAGCTCCCTCTGAAGAGGGGACACCGCTCGGACAAGGGGACAAGTGGCTGCCAGCGGGCGAGGACACTGACCTGTTGCTGAGAGTTTAGTAACGTGTCAAGGTATTTAGTCACGTGGTTTCTGAAGTCCTTTGATTTCTCTTTCTGCAAGAGAAAGTTGCATTAGCAGGTACAAATCTGGACTAAGCCCTCCAGCATGAGGGTGGGACAGGACCTTCCTGTCCCTCCTGGGACCAAAGGAGCAGCATGAGGACATGAAACAGGGTCACGCTGAGCTGCTGAGCAGCACAACAGATCAGCAGGTTCCAAGGAGCTCTGCAGATCTGTTGTCATTTTAGCTAGACAAGCTCAGCCCTCACAACCCCCTCCCAGGCTCAAGAAGAACTTAAGGGTTAGGACTAGCTTACCTCAAACCGTATCACCTCCTTGCGGATCACAGCAGAAATCCGCTCAAAGTCCCTCTCGTACTGCGTCACGCGAGACTCCCACTGCGGAGAGAGGACACGGGCTGCACCCGGGCAGGGAGACGACGCTTTCGGCGCGAGGAGGCGCCCCTGGAGCGCAGCTCCGAGGGCGCCGGGGCCCCTCACAGCAGCTCAGCGGCCCCGCGCTCGGGTCCGYGGGATCTCTTCCCAAGGAAGCCGCATGGATGCCCATGGAACACGAGCGTGGGTGCCCCCTCCTGTGGCAGCTGCAGCTTCCCACAGCGCCGGCCAGAAGCTGCCGTTTGCTGCGCGGGACACCCTCTTCTAAAGGGAAGGGGGGCAGCCCTGCCCTGCGTGGCCTGCGCGCCCGAGCAGCAGCGCCGGGAGAGGAGGGAGCCAGGCGGGCTCCGCGCTGCCTACCTCCGAGATCTCCTCCTTGGCCTGCTGCAGCTTGTCGGGCTTGTTGGCCCACAGCAGCCTGGCCTCCAGCTCCCTCTTCTTCTGCAGCATGTTCTGGGCGTCCTGCCACCTCTGCCAGGTCTTCATGCGCTGGTCAAAGGCTCCCTGAAAGGAAGCAGCGGGGAAGGAGTTGCCACGTGCCCCGAACGCGGCAGGAGAGGCCCCGTGCACGGGGGGCAGCGCAGGTTCCGCCTCAAGGCTTAGCAGGGCGTTCCCTGACTGCGCAGTCAGCGGAGCCGCACAGCTCTGAGGCGTCCCCACCTCGAGGCCTGCCCAGCCCCGGCCCTGCCGCGTCCCAGCACACGGGGCCTGGCACCAGGGCGGCCGCGGCCGGCTCCGCACGGCGGCTCCAGCCCCGGCAGCCCGCCGGGCACAGAGCTCAGGGCCTGCAGACCCTGGTGCTCACGCTCCCGAGGGCGGGCGTTTGGCAGGAGAACGCTGATTTTAGCGGATGGGCCAACCACTTGCCCGAGCATGGAAGGTCCATTAGACTTCTCCATGCACCCAGCTAGGCCGGGGGGAAGAGCAGAAGAGGCAGTGAGCAGCGTCCACAAGCCGGCCAGGACGGAGCAGCCAAGAGGCAGCTAAGTSTTCGGCAGCACTGGAATATTCACGATGCATCTACTACCTTCAGCCCTAGAGCTGTGTCCCGCTCTGGGGCACAGACACCTCCCGGCACAGAGGAGGCTGTGTCAGACCTAGGAACTCAGCCTCACGTTTGTAACTCTTGACTAGGGTGGTTTTGTTTTTCTGGTCTCTGCAACCTGGAGAACTGGCTGCTTGGGCACAGGACAAGGTCAGGGCAGGAGCAAGTTAACAGCCTCTCAGGCTCCCGGCCCCCTCGGCACTCATTGCTGTCAGTCTCCAGCAGCGAGCAGCGCGTGCCAGGCAGGCTGCGGGCATTCCAGAGCTCTGGCTGCTGCCCAGGAGAGCTCGTCGGCTCTATTTGTAACTCGGGTCACYGATTTAGAGCCTCTGCAGGAGCAGCAGCCTCTGCCGGGCTGCAGACCACCCTGCGAACCACAGAAATGCTCCATATCCCCCTTGGAGAAGGGCACAGACCGGCCTCACCTACCTCGCTGTTCCGATCTGAGCCCAACACGTGCACAACTCAACAAGCAGCAGGTCTGCCCTCTGCCTGAAGAGATGAGAGAGACCCAGGGCCCCACGCTGGCATTTAGAGAGCCGGTGGCATCCCGGCACACGCGGGCCCCGGAGCGGCGCTCGGACCGGAGCTGGGCTCCGAGGACGGCTGCCGCAGCGCTTACCCGGACGACGGCGAGCAGGCGGATGTAGTCGCCCAGGAGCTCGGCCAGGAGGAAGAAGTCGCTGTTAGCCTGGTCCTGGTGCAGCTGCTCGATCTTCTCCTCCACCTCGGCCAGTTGGGACAGAGCCCGCGACAGGGCCGTGTTGTCCTCCGAGCTTCCCAGCATGGCCAGGCTCTTTGCAAACTGCGCTGTGTTCAACGCCAGCTCTGGGGAACGGAGTAAGAGAGTGAACCCCCGCCGGCCTGGAGGCTGCTCCGGGAGCGGCTTTTCTCCCGCGGGACGGGATGGTGGGAGCAGGGCCGGCAGCTCCGGCCAGGAGGGGAGGCGGCAGAGTGGGAGGACAGGCAGGGATTCGCAGATGTCAGCCAAGACACGCAGAGGAAGAAAAACATCCCAGCTCCCTGCCAGAGGATTGCTTGGAATCCACAGCAGGATCGACTTGGCTTTCGCGACAGCAACAGCCTCCACCCAGGAGCACGTTGGTGCACTTTAACACCGCAACCCTCCCCAGTCCTACCGGCTTAGGAGATGTGGGGTCATCATTTTGCCTTCATCATCCCCAGTTAAGAGGCCAAGAGCCATCGACAGCTCCAAAGTGCCTCCCAGAGCACTGCGCACCAGCCACCTCCGCTCAGGCACGGCCACGGCTTGACGTGGCTCGAGCTCCTCACCTTTCCTGTGGTTCACCAGCATTTCCACGACGGCGTGCAGCTTCCGGAGCCGCTGCTCCTCACACTCCACCTCCTGCAGCTTCTCCTCGAACCACTGAAACGGGCGAGCCCGGAGCTGAGTCTCACGGCCGGAGCACGAGCTGCTGGGCTCACGCAGCTCTGAAGAGGGGAGCAGGGACCTCCTGGAGGGGTCCTGGCACTTACTATGTCCGATTCATTCATCTTGATGGTCATTTTACTGACTGCATCGGTAGCTTTATTGAACATCTTCAGTATTCCCGCTCCACTCAGGGCCTGGGTGCCTACTGCTCTTGGCAGCTGTAAAGAAGCAATGAGAGAAAAGAGAGAGAGAAAAAAAAAAAGGTTTGTTTTGTCAGGAGATGAAAGTAGCTTTGAGAAGAACCATGACTCTCCCTGTGGTATTTGTGCGGATCCCTGACAGCGTTTATGCGTGCAGCAGGACACACACCACAGCTACGGTGAAGAACCAGCCAGACTATCCRAGCATCTGCACGAGCCACACAGCATTCC